ATGGAAAAAGCTCTTGTCAACCCATGGGCTCATAAAACAGTGTAAACCCAATGGTCTAGATTGAATCTAGGCCGATTCAATGACCACAAATATATTTCATAATTGAATTTTAATTTTTTTATCTACAAATCCAAATTACTTAAAATTTGGAGCGTCATTCTTCAAAAATAGTTGAATCTAATAAAAATATCAAAAATATAATTCACATAAATTAAATTGACCAAAGTACCTTTAAAAAGTTACAGGGGCATTTTGGTCTATTTATTTTATGTGAATTATTTTTTAAATAATTTTATTAGGTGCGTCTTGACGAGAAGATTTTATGCTCCAAATTTCATGTTACTTTGGATTTATATAAAAAATATTAAAATTATATTACCGATATACAGTCATGACCGTTAGATCGGCCCAGATTCAATCTTGGCTAAAGTTTATACTATTCCATCAGCTAGTGGGCTCACCCTAGCATTATTTTGGTTTTCCTAAAAATATTTTTGCATTATTTATACCTTCGTGAGGAGGAGAATCATAGACGTTCAAATTTACAACTCAATATAGAAAATAAAATAAAATAAAATTGAAATACGCTCGTATGCTCTTAATCGTTTGTGACGATATTTAAATCATTATATTGTTTCCAAAATCTTTTTCTATATTTTGTATAGGTGTTAGATGCTAAAACATATAGAAATTGAAAATGTTGGCTCAATTTGCGTACATAAAAAACCAAAAAATAAAAAAACTTAGATGTGCTCTCAACTTATTCAAGATTATCTTTTTTCATGTGACGTAGAGTTTCGAGTTCGCTAGAACTACCATGAATGAGCTATTATTTCGAAACCTCATTCATTTAATAAACCTTACCATCTTATTAGCAAAAACTTTAATAAAATATTTTAAAGTAGTTATCTAAAGTTTTAAAAATCTCCTAATTCACAAAATTTAAGCTCGAACCAAATATAATTATCTAAAGTCGTCTTTCATAATTGAAAATCTCAAATTCTATTTCGAGGTTCTAGTTTGTCAAATGCCCTTTAACTTGCAGGGAAAAGTTTATCTAGAGCCGAGGCTCTAAACAATCAAATTAAAGCCTACCTCAAAAATTTCACTAGAAGAGATTATTTTGATTTCCAAAAATCCTCAAATTGATCTTCTCAACATCAAGATACATAGATATGAGAAAAAAAAATAGATTTCAAGTTTTGGAAATAATCTATTTTGTAATGCATTTTTGAACCACCACTTTTCAAGTTTTCATAAATCTATCGATTTACACAATTTTTGAAGCTCTAAACTTTGTAAATAAGGAAGAAAATACATTTTAAGGCTATTACAAAGATTTCAAGTGCTGAAATTACATTTCTCGATACTATTTGAGGGTCAGCTCTAATTTGATTGTTTAAACTATTTGAGGGTAAGCTCTAATTTGATTGTTTAAAGCCCAAGTTGTATACAAACCAGACCTTTAACTTACATAACTTCTAAAAATTTATCCCTTATTGGAAAATAGTTCTATAGAGCTGGAACCCTCTTAAATAAGTAAAGCCTCACTTCATAATTCATCTAAAGTTATAATTAAAGCAAAAACGACCATCTTGACTTGAACATTATGGTTATAGAAAAAAAAAAAAAAAAAAAGGATTTGAAAAACTTGTTACTTTATGAGGTCATCTGATCAGGCTTTATTTTGTTTTTCATGAAACCTCTTAGCTTTATCATTTTGCCTCGACGCTGCCACCAATTTTTCTAATCAAATATATAAGGGCTCAGCTCATCAAGCCAGGAGAACGCCACAAACTCGGTTCGGCAGGACCGATCTGCCCCTGTTTAAATCGGAATGGCGCCCAACCCAATAACAATTTGAAAAAGTTATTGGAACCATTCCATCGTTTCTATTGTAGTTCAGTGTCCTTTCTTTTTCCCATCTTCAAAGACCTATCTGTGTCTAATGTGGCTATTGCTTGGAACGATGGCTTCAGTTCCTGGATACGCTTTAGCTCGCCGTTACAGAGGTAAAACTCCAAATTAAACGTATGAAGAGTATTTAAAAACATTTAATTTGGGTTATATCCATCATATTATTTATTTCTTGCATAATTAATTTCACTTCTTGTGTGCATTGCTACGGCCCTGCCGTATATTTACCTATTTGAAATTGATTTAGGGTTTTGCGCTCTTTTCTTTTTCTCTGCGGGAAATTCTTAATTTTAGCAGTTCAGTGACGGAAGACTTGGCGGATTCTTATTTTATTTTTTTTAATATTTGGATCTGTAATTTCAGTTTTCTGGTGGATTATTCTTTGTAAATTAAATGCCATTGTTATAGAATATCCTTTTTTCCCCTTTCGGAGTCGGATTAAATTTACACAGAAAACATTATTGGCGATCAGAAAACCTTACCTAAGAAATATTTGGATTAGGTTCTCTAGTCATATTGCTATGGCAGTAGTTTTGTTCTTGTGTTTTCTTGAATGCTCGGTTTTAACTTGGAACTTTCTGGTTCAGTTTTTTTTCATGTTTTTAGTAGTGATAGTTTTTGTGCTGATATTTTTGCATATTAAATCATTAAGGAAAATGTTAAAATAAGGCCAAGGCTTTATAGAAAAAATTAAAGCCTCACCTGAAAGCTCATCGAATATTATAGTTCCGGTGTCAGAAAACCTTCAAATCGATCATCTCGACCTTGATCATTATGGTTGTGAAAAAAATTAGGATTTTAAGCCCTAAAAATAGTGTATATTGTAACACGTTATCTAGATCATCTATTTTAAAGTGTTCACAGATCCATAGGATCTACAACATTTTTTGAGCCATTTCATAATCAGTGGTGGAAGCAGATTTTAAAACCATCTGAACGATTTCCCATGCTGCAAATGTTTTCTGGACAAGATTTCAAGGTGAGGCTTTACTTTTTCTTCATAAGGCATAGGCCTTATAGAAACCACATCCATCATAAAAAGCCAATGTTAACAATTCAATTGTATTCTCTTTTTTTGTTTTTTTGTTATTTTTCTTTTTGTCCTTCGCTTAACAGAATGTGTTTTGTAAATGTTATGGTTTAAGGGTAGGGTTTAAGTGCTTCTACCGGTGATATGCGCCATCCTTTTATACCGATTTTGCAGATTCTCCCCAAAAATGAGAGAGGGGAAGCGTGCATGTCAGTCTCGGTTCTCCTCTCTCTCCTTTTTGATCCCTATTCCTTGCTCTCTCTAGAAACCATTGCAAAAACACCGCAAACTCCCCCTCATATTCATACATAGTGCAACCCCTGGCAACCACCATTTGATCCCATTCTTTTTTATCTCTAGAAACCTGAGAAAAATTCCACACATTCCCGCTTTTTACTTGTTTATCTGAGAGCTGGTCGAGAAACAATTTTTTCTAATTATGAAGCATTTGAAGTTATTAAGCCTTAGAGAATCAAGCACTTGAAACTCTACCTCTGCTTACGATATTGAGGTCTTTGGCTTAATCAGGTCAATCTATAGCCATGTCATTGAGAAATGAGGAGTTATTCTCTATTTCTATTTTAATGGCTGCAAATTGGCATGGAACCTATGCTTGCCCCCTTCCCTGCTATTAAAATCACTGCCATTGTTTTAGCAAAGAGCGCACAATGATTAGAAACCTCGATGGTCACCTGATAAGATGTGGATTGAGCAAACAAATTAAGGGATCAACTGCTATACGTGGCGATTACTTTCTCATGAAACCCCAACTTCCCCGTCTTTTGCTGAATTTAGAGAAAATTTTGCAAAGACATTCATGTCCGTTGCTCAGCATCATCTCTAAATGAAACTCTCCCTGTTTCATAACCCCCCAACTTCAAAGCCCACCTTCTTTTGACATGGTTTTTGCTCACTTTGCCATTAAAGACCTAGTTTTTTAGAGCTGAAACTGTTAAATCTCTCCACAAGTCTTGCTAAAATAGGAATATCTACTACTACTGCTACTACTACTACTGCTGCTACTGCTACTGCTACTTCTACTTCTGCTACTGCTACTGCTACTTCTACTAGTCGTAGGGCAATCTTTTCCCGTCTCTCTGCCTTGAATTCCCATTCTACTTCCCGATTGCCTAACTGAACACCCCCCACCCCCCCAACTGGAAAAAAAGAAGAAGAAAAAAGCAACTCCCTCTCTCTCTCTCTC